CTTACTATACATCAGAGAACTAGACAATGACTAAGGATGACAGAGGAAGAATAGATACCTTCAAATTGTGGTGCTAGAGAAGACTTTTGAACATACCACGGACTGCCAAGAAAACAAATAGGTCTGTCTTGGAGAGGGTGAAACCAAGTTTCTCCTTGGAGACTAGGATTTTGAAACTGTCTCATGTTTTGGGCATGTGGCCAGGGAGACCAGTTTGTGGAGAAGGACATAATGCTCGGAAAGGTGGAGGGACAGCACCAGAGCTGAAGACCCCTGATGAGATGGATTGAACTGGTGCAATGAGCAATGAGCGTTGACATGTCAGAATTAGTGAGACTGGCTCAGGATAGGGCAGTCTTCAGAGCTGCTGTACATAGGGTTACTGTGGGTCGCAGGCAACTTGACACATAACAATAACAACAACAACCTAGACAAGTTATAGTGACCATTTAATGCTGTTCCTGCGTATTAGAATTCCACTAAAGTATTACTAATTTGTTACGACATGTGGTTAAAAAAAAGAAAGTAGAAAAACCTAGCAGTCTGTAACACTCTTTACTTTTATGTCTGTTAGGCTACAAATAAAAATGGAGGTTGAAGCTCAACTAAAAAAAATCCTATGTCAGGATATTTTCCAAAACCAGAACTCAGAAAATCCTATGTCAGGACATTTTCTGAAACTAGAACTCAGAAAATCCTATGTCAGGACCTTCCCTAAAACTAGAACTTAGAAAACCCTATGTCAGGACATTTTTCTGAAACCTCAGAAATCCCATGTCAGGACATTCCCCAGAACCAGTTTCCCAAGATCAAAAACTTTATGCCTCAATGAACCACTGCAACGACCCCTTATAAGCCCTTAAGCCCAACCCCCAGGGCTACTCCCCTTGCTGAGTAGCCGGGAGTGCAAGGGAGTACAAGAAACTCTGAGAAATGTTTCTGCCTTGGCGTGGTTCTTGGCTTTGATCTGAAACCTTTCAATGTCTACATTTCCTGTTTGTTAGATACCTTACAGTCCAGAGGGCAGAAAACACTATGAAAATATTTTCTAACTGAACAAGAAGGTATGCAGCTTCTCAAGAAACTCAAGACCACCAGTAAAGTGTTACAGGGGGGTTCTCCTTCTCTCTTCATCTCAATGCCCCTGTTCAGCATGAGGTGCAGACTCTATTCCCAAATGGGGGACCCACAAATAAAATGAGACAATCACTTTGTAAAGAAGCCCTACTCTCCTAAGGATCAACCCAGAATATTTGTCTATTTTTTAAAAAAGAAAATTTTACTTTAATTGTGATTTTAATGAATATTTACAGAGAAGGTTTGTCTCATAGATAACAAGATTGATATAAGAAGGGGGAGAATGGAGAAGGGGGAGATGATGGGGTGGTATTAATAAATTCAGAATATCCAAACATATAATTTAGTATAGTTATAAAACTGACATCAATTTTTTCCAGCATCCAAAACTAGTTACTTTGCCTTAGATGTGCCCCCCCCTTTAGTCATGTAAAGTACTTTAAACTGCTTATGTACCAGGAGAGGAAATAGATCTTTCCTAGGTTAGCATTTACCTCTTTGAACCTGTTTTTCTCAGTCATATGTAAATTGTACTTTAAGTTGCCAGGAAGAGAAATTAATTTTTCCTAGATTAGTACTTACCTTTTCAAAATTGTTTTTCTCTGTCATATGTTAACTATTTCATAAGCTTTCTGTTTACTAGTAGCTATATGTACATTGTTCTTTTTAAATGTAAAAATCTTGTAACTAAAAAAAATGTAGCCCAAGTATAAAAACCTAATGACCATTCCCAGATGGGGAGACAGCTTTTGAGAAGATGTTCTCTGACCTTCCAGATCTGTAATAAAGTGCTTTGTATATTCCAATCCATCTGTCTTACTGGTAATTGGCTATGGAAAGAACCCATTGAGTTCAGTAATGGGCTTAAGGTTTTATAACAAGTACATGACAAAGATAGAGTTTCAGTATGTTTTCTAATTCTGAGGCACTTGCTTTAATCACCATTCTCTAGTACCTTGTGACTGATTCCTCTCTCCTTGGTAGGAAAGGGAAACTTGTCAGATCAAAAAAGCTTCTAGACATTTATTCTACTCCTATTTAACAGACACATGCCCAGTACCTAGTCCCTGCCAGGCTATAGTTTAGGATGGGAGTAGAGGGGACAGCAGTGAACAAAACATCCCTATCCTCATGGAGCTTCATTCTACCAAGTCAGAGAGAAACAGCCACTTGAACTGATGCAATACAGTCTCATTAGGCAACTGATTAGCACCATAACAAGATAAAAGTAAATAAATCAATTGAAAAATGGGCACAGGATATGAACAGACACTTCACCAAAGAAGACATTCAAAAGGCAAACATACACATGAAGAAATGTTAAAAATCCCTAGCTCTAAGAGAGATGCAAATCAAAACAACTATGAGATATCATTTCACCTCAGTCAGAATAGCAAAATTTAACAGAACAGTAAACAACAAATGCTGGCGAGGTTGTGGAGAAACTGGAACCCTTATTCACTGCTGGTGGAAGTGTAAAATGGTACAACCACTGTGGAAGGCGGTATGGCGCTTTCTCAAAAAGTTACAAATAGAGATACCTTTTGACCTAGCAATTTCATTACTGGGAATATACCCCAAAGAGGCCATAACTGACATTCAAGCAGATATAGGCGCACTCATGTTTATCAGGGCTTTGTTCACAATAGCAAAGAGCTGGAAACAGCCCAAGTGCCCATCAACAAATGAATGGATAGAGAAGCTGTGGTATATTCACACAATGAAATACTATGCTGAATTGAAAAACAAAGAACTCATGAAATACTACGCAAATTGGATGACCCTAGAGGACATTATGCTGAGTGATAGATCTCAGTCACAGAAGGACAAATATTGCATAGAGCCACAATTGTAAAACAGGACTGACATTGGGGTTGAGGGAAGACAGAGAAGAAGGGGCAGAATGACGTATATTGCATTGCAACAGATGAGGGAGAGAACTGTTTAAAAGGGATATATGATTAGGTATTATTGTCATGACAGGAGTCCAGAATGAAGGCTGCACAGTGCAGTGGACCTAGGGGGAGGGATTGCATAGCAATGAAGGAGTCTTTCTTTTACTTATCAAGGAGAAAAGTGAATTGGGGGAGAGGGAGTGGGCAGGGAGAAAAGTGCAACAATTAATGACTGGAAACCCCAAGTCTCTGTAAACTTTCATTAAAATTAATAAAAACCCCAAAACAAAGCAAATGATTAGGCACGCTGCCTGGAAACTGGAGGTTCTTTATAAACTATCCACATCTCACAGACAAGACCACTGAGACTCACATCCGGACAAACTCTCCCAGGTTCTTACTGCTGGGAGACTCAATTTTAAGAATGAACGGCTTCAGGTGAACCCTCTATCTCCAGATATTTTGAAATATTATCTATTTTCCTCTCTTTTACTCCTCTGATAAAGAGCTCTGGTGATGTGGTCCATGGGGAACTGTGCTGCTAACTCAAAGGTTTCACCTCTCTGGAGATTCAGCTCTGAGGGAAAAAAGATGAGCAATCTCTTCCTGTGTGATTTACAGCCTAAGAAGCCAAATGGTGGGTCAGCTGAGTCAATTCTGACTTGATAGAAATAAGTGAGAGTGAGTGACTCCTTTGAGGCTGGTGGTTGGCTCTGTAGCCAGTGTGCATGGGGAAGCATGTGACCATGCAGGAGCCTGACATCTTTGTGGCTTTCTTAGAGACACTTACCCTTTGAGGAAAGGAAATGCCAGAGCTTAAATATTGTGTCTTAGAAAAGGCTACACTTATAGAAGAATCATCTCAGAATAAGAAGAAGCCCTCTGATTGAAAATAGTGCTCGCTTCGGCAGCACATATACTAAAAAAAAAAAAAAAAAAGAAAGAAAAGGAGTGGGGATAGTAATAGAGCTGAGAATCTGTCCAGAGATCACCTGGAGGACCATGCGGAGCTTGGGGGTGGAAGGTAGCAAGCATGGAGAGAGCAGGACCCTGGTGAGTCAGGAGCAGGACTTCATAGCTTTCACTGGGAAGAAAAATTGCTTAAGGTCCTACTAAGGGCAGATTCTGAACCCAGAAGTCGTACATTAAGTGGCTAACATAAGGATTTAGATGGACAAGACTACACAGATTCTCAATCCTTGAGGGAGCTCGAGGTGGCTCTGACCCAAATCAAGAGTGCCAGAGGACTACGTAAGGAAAATCTCCACTGTGGCCCAAATCTACAGGGCTCCATCATCAAGTACGGGTGATAATCTTTCAAGTGGCAGCATACCAGAACCTTGGAGTGAGACTGAGTCTAATCAACTTATAAAATATAAAACTCAATTTTTTGCTCCCTTGGTGATGTGGTCTGTAGGGAATTGTGCTGCTAACCCAAAGGCTTCCCTTCTCTATGTTTCATATTTGGGGATTCAGATCTGAGGGAAAAGATGAGCAATTTCTTCCTATGTGATTTACAGCCTGGGAAACCCAAAAGCAGAAACAATGAATAAGGATAACAGAAGAAGACTAGATTGTCTTCGAATTGTGGGGATGGAAATAAGTATTGAATATCCCATTAACTGTCAAAACAAAAACAATGGAGACAAGTGCAACTAAGTTCTCCTCAGAGGCAAGGATGATGGAACTGGTCTCATATACTTTAAGTATGTTGTTGGGAGAAGCCAGTCCTCGGAAAAGGACATCCTGCTGGGAAAGGGAGAGGTTCAGAGAGAGAGAGAGAGGGAGATCCTTAACAAGATGGACTGACACAGTGACTGTAACAATGGTCTGGAGCATATCAGCGATGGTGAAGATGGTGCACATGGGGCAAAGTTCTATTGTTCATATGCTCACAATGAGTTGTAGACAACGGGCTGGCACACACAAACAACAAAACAAATAAGAACTGAGACTCCTTTCTTCCCCTCCCCACACCATTCCATCCCCTTCTCTTCCTCTTTAATCTACCTTGTCTCCCTTTCTTACCGAATTGGAGAGCTCCTGGATCTTCTGTAGGACCACCTGGAGGGCTGAGTCTCCTGGCCCCAGGGGGATGAGCTCCTTTGGCCAGGTGCTCTGAGTCAGGACACTTGGCTCCAACACTCCAACTAAGTCTTCTTCTCGGCCCAATTGCTGCATCCTAAAAGGAGCTTGCTCTGAACATTCATCTCCTCTAAACAACTACTCCCATCATCCTACTAGCCCAGGAACTAGTGTCCTAGGTCACACAGGTCCTTGGCACTCCATCCAGTCACACACTGGTCTGAAGTTCTCAGGAACTGCCCCATCTGCAGTCTGGCCCAGTCTACTTCAGAGACTGGGATGAGAATCAAGAAAGATGTGCAGAGGGAATGGGAAGATCCTCTTCCAGACTCTTCCACGTTCATGCTCCCATTTACAGAAGAGAAAACTGAGACACAGAGATGATAACATTCCTTTAGACCTAATATTTAAGAGATGCTCTGATCCAAACACTCATTTTGCAGATAGAGAAAAGAGGATCAGTGAGAGGAAGGAATTTACCCAAGGTCATCAAATGGTCAGTACATCACTGTGCTGAATCTGGGTTCCCTCGAGCAGCACTGGTTCTCTCCTGGTCACATAGACATGAGTCCAGGACCCTCTTTTCCAACAGTTATAACTGTAGTCATGGCCTCAACTCCAATCTCAGACTCACCTTGTATCTATTGCAACCTGTCTCTTCAGGCACAGCTCCCTGTGGCCAGGATCAATGTCAATTCTTGGGTTTCAGGTGAATCCCTATGGGAAGAGCAGATCTCGGGTAGGATCCAGCTATCTCTGCTCTAAATCCCTGGGCAATCCTGCAGGCTCAGCCCAAACTTCTCAGATCAGGAGTTCCAACCCTCCTAGGCATGTCCACAAGACAGATGCACAAAGTGGGGTCAGAAATGACCAGCTAGAAAAACTCTCACTTTGCAGATAGGAAGTAGGGACCCAGAGTTCTCCAGATCACCTAGTAACCCAGCTGTTGTCCTGGGAAGAAAGCCAGCTCCTCAGAACCTACTTGTGAGCCTGGTCGACGCCTTGGGAGTTGGCTGGTTGTCTCCTGCCTTCCGCTGTAGTTTTAAAGGCTTCACTAGTAATTCCTGGAATTAAAAAAATGAGTCTGCCTACGTCACTCTGTGTCCAGTCACCTTCTTACACCCTCCTCTCAGCCCTCCCCCTTTGTGTGAGTTTCTGAGATCACAACTTCTCTGGTGCTGCCAGCCTGACTCCTCTACCTTGGGCAGCTCCACCTCTAGGATATCAGTTAACGTACCCCATCTTTGTGCTTGTACTTGGTTAGGAAGGCCATCAGATAGTTGACCACTCCACTGTCTTTTCTGTTAGCTCTGCACTTGGCAGGGGGGAAAATGCAAGAATAGCAGAGAAGGTCATGTCCTCAAGTGTAATGTGTTTACAGTGACATCAGTGTAAGCTCTAACATGAGCTCATTGATCAGTTTGATCTTGGATCCAACCCAGCCAAGCTTAATGCTGTCAAGATGATCCTGATAACTATGACTCTATAAAACAAGGTAGAACTGTCCTGGAAGGTTTTTTGTTTGTTTTGGGCGGGTTTTTTTGTTTTGTTTTGTTTTTTATGCTGGAGACAAACATCTTTATTAAAGATAATACCAAAATTTTGGCAAACATTTCAAAACAGATTTGTAAACATAATACTTCCCTTTTCAACTGGCAGCACTTTGAAAAGGCAATACAATAAGACAGCACAGCTTAAATAAAAATTAGTTCAAAATCTTTACATTTTGACCACATGACTTATGTTGCCATATGATAAAACAAGTGATAGTTTAAATCAAAGTCAATAGATGAACTTCATGAAATGAAAGTTGGTGCTGTTTGATGAATCACACAGCACATTGTGGTTAAATATATCAGTTCTTTTTCTTTTTTTTTTTTTAATATATATTCTTGGCACCCAGGATGAAAAAAATATGTCTAACTATATATTTCATGTAGGTAATAACTTCTTTGTATGTTGTTGTTATGTGCCATCAAGTCACTTGCAACTCATAGCAACCCTATGTATAAGAGCCCTAAACGCCGTTCTATCCTGTGCCAACCTTGCTGTTTCAAACACACTCATTCTCACCACTCCACTCACAGAATTGCTCCATCTCATCAAATCTCTCTTCAAAGAAATACTTTATAGTATTATATAAATAGGTTCCCTACATGTTTAATTTTATAATTTTGCCCCAAAACTATAGATCTGTTTCATTTTCATAATGTATTGATTTTGTCCAATATTAATAAATCTGACAAATGGTTGAAATGGAAATGATTTTGTCTTCCACAATAGAAGTAGCAATTTTTCAGGAAAAATAAAACAAACAAAACCTACAGTAACACTCATCTCTTGTTTAACCTGAGCGTTTGGCCTACTAAGAAGAGCAGCAGCTTTTTTCCTTTCATGTGTACTTTTATCCATACAACCTCTACACGCATATATGGTTTGAACACACACTTTCAGATACTGTTAGGTCACAGTGAGCTTCCCATTGCTTTAATCAAATGGGAAGCAGTGTAGCTAATTATTAAACATACTATGTACACAACTAGTAAACTCCTTAAGGCAATCATTGCAATGGGGGGGGGGTTAAATTGCAGGGTGCTTTACTGTTCTAGAACAAGTCTGTATGTGTACACATATGTATATGCATATCTCTATACATATACATATTCATATGCCTTTCTATTTCTTAACCCTCCAAAACAATGCTTAATTATTTTTTAAACTTTGTGAAAATTCCTAAATATTCTACCATTTAAGGTAAAGAGTTTGCATTAAAAAATGTCAGAAATCCTCAACAGATGGTGTGGGTAGAACTGGACTTCCACCTGCAGAAAGCTGAAACAGGATCCACATCTCGCACCATACACAAAATCAACTCAAGGTGGTTCAAAAACCTGGGAGTAAAAACCCCAAAACCATATTGTTCATAAGAGACAAACTGGGATCAAGCTTAGAAGCACTAGTCCAAGGTATAAAGAGACTGCCAAATACAACCAGAAATGCACAATCTAAAGAGGATAAAATTGATGCATGGGACCATATAAATATTAAATACATGTTTGCATAAAAAACCTTTGTCCAACAGGGTGAAAAGAAAACCTACAGACTGGGACCACACATTTGATAATTCCATCTCAGACAAGAGTCTTATAACAAAAGTTTACAGAATATTTCTGGGCCTCCAGAAGAAAAAGACTGATAACCCAATTACAAAATGGGCAAAAGACATGGAAATAATTTTCACAAAGGAAGGTGTTTGAATGGCAAAAAGACACATGAAGAAATGCTCCAAATCACTGGCAATAAGAGAGATGCACATCAAAACCACTGTGAGGTACCATCTCACTTCAGTAACAGTGGCAAAGTTTAACAGGGCAGCAAGTAATAGATGCTGGAGAGGATGTAGATAGAAAGGAACTCTTATACATTGTTGGTGGGCTTGTAAAATGGTGCAACCATTATGGAAGGCAGTTTGGTGCTTCCTCAAAAAGCTGAACATAAAAATTCCATATGGAAACAACCAAATGTCCAAACACAAATGAATAGATTGAGAAATAATGGTACATTCACACAATGGAATACTATGCAGCACATAGGAGCAACGATTTTGTAAATTATTACCTAATTTGGGAGAGATTGGACAGCATTATGCTGAGTGAACTAACGCAGTCCCATAAGGATAAATATTGTATAAAACCATTATTATAGATTAAGTATAAGGATCCAAGAGGGATGGGAGAGTTTGGAAGCAGAGGAATGAGGATGTGCAGGAGGAGAAAGGAATTAGTCATATGGTTGTACAATTTGTTGGGTGAGGGGATGAGAGAAATTGAAAGAATTTGATCTTGAAAACAATGTATTAGAATTTTATAAATACACTAGATGTTGTTGTTTACCGTTGGGTTGGAACTGACCCATAGTTGACCCTCTGCCGAGTTTTCAGAGGCAGTTAACCACACAGGAGGAGATTGCCCATCTTTCTTCTGTAGAGCCGCTAGTGGCTTCAAACCTCATGCCGTTGGGATTGCAAGACAGCTTCTTGCCACTAGGCCATCAGAACTCCCTAGCAGAAAATAAGTAAATTTTTTTAAAAGTCAGAAAATAGACATATGTTTATCCAAAAGCATTTCATCTTGTGTGTTGATTTTTTCTTTTTAAACACACACACACACACACACTTTTTAAAATAGGGACACTGAATCCACAATATCTTTATTATTATTATTATTAATTTTAGTCAAAATTTACAGAGACATTGGATTTCCATTCATCCATTGTTGCACTTTTCTCCCTGCCCATACCTCCCTCCCAGCTCACTCTTCTCTTTGCAAAGTAAAAGAAAAATTCCTTCACTGTTTTACAAACACTCCCCCAGGTCCACTCCACTATGCAGCCTTCACTCTGGACTCCCATCATGACAAAAATACCTAATCACACATCCTTTTTAAACAGTTTTCTCCCTCATCTGCTTCAATGCAGCATACTTTATTTATCCCATCTTTCTCAGTCTCCCCACAACCCTGATGTCTGTCCCATTCTACAACAGTGGCGCTATACAGAACTTGTCCTTTTGTGACTGAGATATTTCACTCAGCATAATTTTATCCAGGGTCACCCATTTTGAATAATATTGCATGAGTTCCTTGTTTTTCAATGCGTGTGAATATACCACAGCTTCTCTATCCATTCGTTTGTTGATGGGCATTTAGGTTGTTTCCAACTCCTTGCTATTGTGAACAAAACCACAATAAACATGGGTGTGCATATATCTGCTTGGATGTCAGTTACGGTCTCTTTGGGGTATATTCCCAGTAGTGGAATTGCTGGGTAAAAGGTATTTCTATTTGCAACTTTTTGAGAATGCCTCATACTGCCTTCCATACTGGTTGCACCATTTTACACTCTCATCAACAGTGAATAAGGATCCCTGTTTCTCCACAACCTTGCCAGCATTTGTTGCTTGCTGCTCTGTTAAATTTGCTATTCTTACTGGGGTGAGATGATATCTCACAGTTGTTTTGATTTGCCTCTTTCTTAGAGTTAGGAATGATGAACATTTCTTCATGTGTTTGTTGGCCATCTGAATGTCTTCTTTGGTG